TCAGGCCAAGTCCATGAACTTCAATTCCTTATGATTAGATCTTTAGTCAGTTCTGAACCCAGCTTTAGAATCTGTATAAGAATGTAAATCAGAGCTTTATTCAGGAAAGCAAAATGGCAACATATTATGTTTTGTCAGGTTTTATATTATCTGTGATTCTTTTCTCCCCTCAACGTGTGCACCAAAGACTGAAGTTATTTATCTGTGGAAACCTGCATCGTTGTCCATATTCTTCTTTTCACACCCCAAACTGGTGTTCAGCTCATACCCTCTATTTCATTTTTCTCTTTCACATGATGCAACAGCTACTCCACCTGACAGCTCTCCTGATGAGTCTGCACTTGCGCTTCATTCGTGCAATGACTGTTTTCTATCCCAGTCTCATGTCAAAACTTCCACTGGGGGAGAGGTTATAAGGAATCCTGAGCACAAGCCTGAGAAAGCCATATTCCTGATTGTATTGTCCATCGTCAATATTGAAAATCTGCTTATTTCTCATACATTATTAGAGAACATGAATTCTCTGTCATGGGTTTATATAAATTGTGGGTTAATTTTCCATTGTTCTCCAACAGAAAGAACAGGAGAATGTAATCTGAAGTGGCCCGAGCCTGCAATGGAGGAGATCTGGGATCAATCCCTGAGTGGGGAAGATCCACTGGAGAAGGGAATGGCTACCCACTCCAGTATTCTTGCCTGGAGAATTCCATGGACAGAGGAGCCTGGCAGGCTACAGTCCATGGGGTTGCAGAGTCGGACACAACTGACCGACTTTCACACTTTCAGAAAGACTAATAAAGACCTACTGCATAACACAGGGAACTCTGCTCAATACTCTGTAATGACCTATAAGGGAAAAGAATCTAAAAAAGTGGATGTATGCGTAACTGATTCACTTTGCTGTGTACCTGAAACTAACACCACATTGTAAATCAACTATACTCCAGTAAAAGTTTTGTAAAAATACATTTAAAAAGGATGATGTTTAAAGAGGATTGTGTGAAAATGTGTGGACAATACAGAAAATAGATTTAATAGAAAAAAGTACCCCCCACTAACTATCAGAGGATCCAAATTCTAGCACTGGCTGGCAGTATAACATGATCCTTTCCTTTTTTTTTTTTTTACAGTCAGGTAACTGACTAGGCTAGTTCCTTCAAACTGTGACATTGTATGACTCAGTTTTCTCAGCGGGAGTGGAGGGAGATATTAACCCCTTTTCCCCTGGGCCCACAAGGATGTAGCAGCTGGGATTTCTGATGGGTGGAACAGCTTGTATAGATGAGCACAACTCGGATCTGGGAGAGCTGTGGGACTGTGGGACTCCCGTGGCTGGACTCCAGTTAACAAGCCACGGAATTACCGCACCTTTAATCCCTTTTTCCAAAATGCTGCACTGGCCCTGCCTTCCACACCTTGCCCCTCTAACTACTCAGGAAGTTGAGCAGGTGCAGCCCAGGCAGATGCTGGTGGATGTAAGGGGAGGATAGAGACCAGAGGAAGCTTTTGTTCCCAGGGCCAGTAACAGAATCTTCTGCAAATGACTTATTCACCTTCCGAGTTCTTCAGAATCTTGCCAGGGAGGGAAAGAGGAGACAGACTACTTTTCCTCCCTCTCTTATATTGCTTCTGGTGCAGATCCATTGGTTATTCCAAGCTCCCTGGCCTGAGGGAACAGCACCCCAGGAAGCAACTAGGGAACAGAGAAGCTTATCCTTGCATACCCCTTCCTCCAGAATCCTGCCTCCACTTCCCTCCAGATGAGGTCTCTAAAAAGTCTTGTTATTCACTGGGGCTTCCCTCATAGTTCAGTTGGTAAAGAATCTGCCTGCAACACAGGAGGCCCCGGTTTGATTCCTGAGTTGGACAGATACCCTGGAGAAGAGAAAGGCTACCCACTCCAGTATTCTGGCCTAGAGAATTCCATGGACTAAGTCCATGGGGTCGCAAAGAGTCGGACATGACTGAGCGACTTTCACTTTAATTCCTGCATCTAATAGTGGATTGTCTGGTTCTACAGTCCCAAGTTATTCCTTCAAGGATGGGGTCATATAGGCTGTTAGCCTCTCAAACTCTGAAATAATCTCAGATACTTCCAGTCTCCTTGATCATGATGGCTTTAAAGTTCCCCTCAGCTTTGGTGCAGTGGTAAAGAATCTGCTTGCCAGTGTAGGAGACGCAAGAGATGCCAGTTGGATCCCTGGGTCGGGAAGATCCCCTGGAGGAGAAAATGGCAACCTGTTCTAGTATTCTTGCCTGGCAAATCCCATGGACAGAGGAGCCTGGTAAGCTACATCCGTGGGGTCACAAAGAGTTGGACATGACTAAGCCACTGGGCCTTTGAGCAGCTTGACTCAATTTTGGATGGGTATCTTCCAGACTCTAGGTTCTGACTCCTCTTTTCTTTTGAGCATTTACTTTAGAAAGCTTGCTACTGTAAATCTTATCTCTGTCCATTTGAGATGTAAATCTTCTCTCAGCTTCATTCCTGGAAAGTCTTTCTCTTTGACCTAAGAGTCATTTCTCTGAAATGTAAATATTGAGGAAAATATCACCCAGTTTCTCAGAGGGTAAGAGCCTGACTTAGGGGTGAGGGGGAGGAAGGCTAGTTTCAAGTTGCCAAACTACCTCCTGCAAGAAGATACCAGAAAGTTTACTTTTCCTTTAGTGTGTAGTGTAGTGTGTTAGTCGCTCAGTCGTGTCTGACTCTTTGCAACCCCATGGACTGTAGCCCGCCAGGCTCCTCTATCCATGGGATTCTCCAGGCAAGAATACTGGAGTAGGTTGCCATTCCCTTCTCCAGGGGACTTTTCCTTTGGGTAAGGCCAATTAGCAAATACTGATGGTCTAAGATGCCTGCCACTCCAGCTCTTAAGAACTCTTCAGCCCTTTGTTTCCACCTAGCTGGGCAACAAGACTGGTCTATTTCCAGCAACAGTAGCTAAATAAAATAAAGCTCTGTTTGCTTGTCATATCTGGTACGATTGATTGTTTAACACTCATGGTTATGTTTTCTTTTGAATCCCTCTTTCCTGGTCTTTGTTATCTTGTGGTGTATTAGGCAACCAAGTGATACATTACTGTAAACCTCTGTGTGTGTGTGTGTGTGTGTGTGTGAGAGAGAGAGACCTCTCTCACTGGACTGAAATTTTCTTTGGGAAGAATACTCTCTACCATAGATTGCCTGGGAGAACCCTGTCAGTGCTCAGGCTCTGTTTATTGACAAATACTTTATGTCTTATACAAACCACAACTGTTAATTATATTTTAAAAATGTCAAGGTTTAAAAAACATATTTTTACTTACTTCACTCTGTATGTGAAGTAAGTCAGAAAGAGAAAAACAGGGGACTTCCCTGGTGGTCCAGTGGTTAAGAATCCGCCTGCCAATGCTGGAGACAGGGTTAGATCCCGGGTCCAGGAAGATCCCACATGCTGAGAGGCAATTAAGCCTGTGAGTCACAACTACTGAAGCCCATGTATCCTAGACTTTATGATCTGCAACAAGAGAAGCCACCACAATGAGAAGCCCACACACAAAAACTAGAGAGTAGCCCCACTTGCCACAACTAGAGAAAGCCCAAGTGCAGCAACAAAGACCAGTGCAACAAATAAATATCTTTTAACAAAAGAGAAAAGCAAATATCCTATGTTAATGCATGTATGTGGAATCTAGAACAGTGGTACAGATGACCCTATTTATAGTGTAGGAATAGAGTCACAGTCATAGAGAATGGACATGCAGACACGAGGCAGGCAGGGGCAGCGCCATGCATTGGGAGGCTGGGGTCGCCATGTGCGCTGGCCTGTGTAAAGCAGACAGCTCGTGGGGGCCAGCCGGGCAGCACAGGGAGCGCTGTAGGGACCCAGTGCTGCGGGCTGGGGGGCGGAGGCTCAGAGGGAGGGCACGTGTGTCTACATGTGGCCAAGCCACTGTGCAGTAGAGACCTACACAACATTGTAAAGCAACTATGCTCCAATTAAAAAAATAAACATTTTTATATGTATTGTTTTCTGCCAGCAAAAAAAATACTGCACATTTTTTGCAATGGCCAAGAGGAAGGACTCTGAATCCCACTCATCTCTTTTCCTATGAGGATCCAAAATTTGGGATACAGGTGGAAGCTGGTTTAGTGGGGGTGGAAGAGAGGCTCCAAGTGGATCTCCTCAGATGGGGCCTCAAGAAGAAAAACAAAACAGGGATAAAACAACCATATGACCCAGGAATCCCACTACTGTGCATATACCTGAGAAAACCACAACTAAAAAAGATACATGTACCCCAATGTTCACTGCAGACTATTTACAATAGCAAGGACATGAAAGCAACCTAGAAGTCCCATTGACAGCTGNAAAAAGATACATGTACCCCAATGTTCACTGCAGACTATTTACAATAGCAAGGACATGAAAGCAACCTAGAAGTCCCATTGACAGCTGAATGGATAAAGAAGATATAAATGGTACATATATACAATGGAGTATTACTCAGCCATAAAAGGAACAAATTTGAGTGAGTTATAGTGAGGTGGATGAACCTAGAGCCTCTTATAAAGAGTGAAGTAAATCAGAAAGATAAAAACAAATACAGTATATTAACATGTATATATAGAATCTAGTAGTGATGAACATATTTACAGAGAACAAATGGAGATGCAGAGCAGAATGGACTGGTGGACACAGCGGGGGAAGGGCAGGGTAGGACAAATTGAGAAAGTATCATATATACATATATATGTATATACATACACACACTATCATGTGTAAAATAGATAACTAGCAGGAAGCTGCTGTATAATATAGGGAGCCCAGCCTGTTGCTCTGCGACGCGACCTAGAGGAGAGGAATGGACTTGGGGAGGATAAACAGGGAGGGGATATATATATAAAACTGTGATTATTTTCATTGATATATGGCAGAGAACACCACAACACTGTGAAGCAATTATCCTCCAATTAAAAAAACCTAAAAATAAAAAAAAAAAGAAAAACAGGAAATTGGTACGGTGGAAGACTTCCTGGAATTTAATTGGGAGCACAGAGGGATGAGAAGAAGCTCCGAGGGAATCCCACTGTAGATTGCACCAAGGTTTCAGAGCCTGAAAGTGGGAATTGTCTTTCCTCATTTAGCTTGAGAGTATTCCAGTAGCACCCTTGTTTCTCAAATTTGATTATCCTTCAATCTACTAACTGCCCTGGGCAGTGTCGAAGCTTGAGAGAAAATTCTTTGTCTAGGTTACCACTGTCCATATCATATATATCATGTATTCTAATACCCACATAGAAAAACCAAAGTGCAGAGAAATGAAGTGACTGATTAAGGTCTATCTCTGTGCATACTCTTCATGACAGCATCAGGATGGAGATTCCAAGTCTCTCACTCTGGTCTTCTGTCTGGTGCACCATCTTGCTTTTCTCTTATTGAGGTCAGCAGTTTGCAGGGCCAGGGAGCAGGAGCTGGATGTTGGAGGCTATAGAGCCTCCTGTGAGAAGAGGTGGGAATTAGGCTCTTGTGTGAAGTCGCTGCTGTCAGAGCATGTGCTGTGGTTGTGGTGGTGGTGAAAGCCTGCAATGGAAATTTAAAAGAAACACATCAAAAAATAAAATAAAATAAAATAAAAATAAAAGAAACACATCAAGCTTTTTTAAAAAAACTGAAGTATAGCTAATTTACAAATGTTGTGTTAGCCTCAGGTGTACACCAGAGTAATGCAATTATATAAGTGCGCTTAGTCACTTAGTTGTGTACGACTCTTTGCAACCCCATGGACTGTAGCCGTCCAGGCTCCTCTATCTATTCACGGGGATCCTCCAGGCAAGAATACTGGAGTGGGTTGCCATGCCCTCCGCCAGGGGATCTTCCCAACCCAGGGATTGAACCCAGGCCTCCTGCCTTGCAGGAGAATTCTTTACCACTGAATCACCAGGGAAGCCCACACAGATGAATTCTTTTTATTCTTTTACATTATAGGTTATTACAAGATATTGTTTATATTTCTCTGCACTATACAACAAGACCTTGTTGTTTATCTGTTTTATATATAGTATAGTGTGTATTGGGCTTCCCAGGTGGTGCTAGTGGTAAAGAATTTGCCTGCCAGTGCAGGAGACGCAAGAACTGGTTCAGTTCCTGGGTCAGGAAGATCCCTTGAAGTAGGAAATGACAACCTATTCCAGTATTCTTGCCTGGAAAATTCCATAGACAGAGGAACTTGGTGGGCTCCAGTCCATGAGACTGCAAAGTCAAAACTGAGCACCTGAGCACACACACACAGTGTGTGTCTGTTAACCCTAGACTCCTAAAGTCCTGCCTGCTCCTCCACAGCTCCCTGCGGGAACCATAAGATCACTTTCTGTGTCTGTGAGTTTGTTTCTGTTTTGTAATGAAGTTTATTTGTATCATATTTAAGATTCCACAAATAAGTGATATCATATGATATTTGTCTTTCTCTTTCTGACTTATTTCAGTTAGTATGATAATTTCTAGATCCATCCATGTTGCTACAAATGTCATTATTCCATTCTTTTTAGTGGCTGAGTAATATTTCACTGTGTATATATACCATATCTTTTTAATTTATTCATCTGTCCATGGATATTTAGACTGCTTTCATGTTTTGGCTTCCCATGTGGCGCTAGTGGTAAAGAACCTGCCTGCCAATGCAGGAGACATAAAAGATGCAGGTTCAATCCCCAGGTCAGGAAGATCCCCCGGAGAAGGAAATGGCAACACACTCCAGTATTCTTGCCTGGAGAATCCCATGGACAGAGGAGCCTGGCTACGGTGCATAGTATCGCAGAGAGTCAGACACAACTGAAGTAACTTAGCAGGTATGCGTGTTTTGGCTATTGTAAATAGTGCCAGTGGGGTGCATGTATTGTCTTGAATTAGAGTTTTCTCTGGGTATATGCCCAGAAGTAGGATTGCTTGATCATATGGTAACACTATTTTTAGTTTTTAAAGGAACCTCCTTATTGTTTTCTATAGCAGCTGCACCAATTTGCATTCCCATCAACAGTGTAGGAGGGTTCCCTCTTATCCACACCCTCTCCAGCATTTATTTGTACTTTTTGATGGTGGCCATTCTGACCCATGTGAGGTTATATCTCACTGTGGTTTTGATTTGCATTTCCCTAAAACTTAGCAATGTTGAGCAGCTTTTTATGTCTTTGGAGAAATGTCTATTTAGGTCTTCTGCTCATTTTTGATTGGGTTGTTTGTCACATCATGCATCTTTGAGACAACTGTAGGTACTGGGTTGGTAGAAACTTCCATACCCTACCTGGGAAAATGTTTCATGCTACTACAAGTGATCTTTAAAGTTATTTTCAGCAGTAGCAGTGACATCAAAGAGTCATGTGACTTAGACTTTCTATTCAGCTCAATGTTTAGAGTTATAAACAGTTCACCTGTACTTCTAGTCTTATTCTTTTGTATAGATTACTGAGCACTGCTGGAGAAAATGACAAAACCATTGCCAATCCATGTTCTGCAATTTGAGTTGAGCCCTAACATTATTCACCAATTCGACTACTGAGATATGTTTCTATTATTTTTGTCCTTTCTCCATAGCGGTGATCTTAAACCTTTATGATCCTCCTCAGATTTCCTGCCTCACACTTTTAATGATGACCTGACAGGAAAAAGGGAGAAAAGAGTAAGCACACATTTCCTGACCTCCTCTCCAGATGACCAATGTAACTAGTCACGCCTGTCCTTTTTCATTTCCTCTCATCTCAGAGATCTGTACCTTAGTCCCTGGCTAAACCCTCCAAAAGTGCTTTGGATCTCAGCTCATTCCCACTCTCCACTGACCTCACATCGTCATTTCCCTACCCTTCTGAACCACGGTCCCCTGCACTCTATTGATTCTTTTCCTCCAGCAAAAATACATGCTTAAAACTTCATCATCCTAGGGAAAAAAACACAAAACACTCCTTAGAGACTCTTGACCCTCTTACCTACTTTGCTTGCATAATTTCCTATTCATTTTTCACATTAATATTATAAAGCCCTGTCACACAAATAAAAATACTCTTATCAAGTTTCCTAATCATTTTCTAGTGGAAAATCTAGTGGTCTAATTGCACTGTCTTTCCTACTGGATATTTTACGACATATGTTACTGAACACTACATCCCCCTTCTTTACCCTCTGAGCCACCAGGGAAGCCCTTACATCCCCCTTCTTGAAACATTATTTTTGTTGTTGTTCAGTCGCTCAGTCGTGTCCAACGTTTTGTGGCCCTATGGACTTCAGCACGCCAGGCTTCCCTGTCCTTCACCATTTCCTGGAGCTTGTTCAAACTCATGTCCAGTGAGTCAGTGATGACATCCAACCATCTCATCCTCTGTCATCCCCGTCTCCTCCTGCCCTCAATCTTTCCCAGCATCAGGGTATTTTCTAACGAGTCAGCTCTTTGCATCAGGTGGCCAAAGTATTGGAGTTTCAGCTTCAGCATCAGTTCTTCCAATGAATATTCAGGGTTGATTTCCTTTCTAAAGTTACTGTGTTTCATTGAGTCTGATAAGCTATTGTTTGCAAGGCTTATGATTATTTTCAAGGAGGCAAGTGTGTGTGTGTGTGTGTGTGTGTGTATGACAAAACTGTATATCTTACAATTACATTGGCTGACAATGTCAATTGCTAGATGCATTCTATTTCAGACATACACAAATACAGAAAAATGCACATCTTAGAATAAGTGAAATACAGCATCTCTAACCACAATAACTCCTCCTGTAATGAAATTCTATCACCCTAGCAGGAAATAGAATCTATTACTCATTTGAAATGTGTAACTCATGGAAACTTCCTCTCTGGCAGAGCAATTCCAATCTTCCTGTATACCTGACTTCTAGGAAAAGATGGGACATGTTTGAGAGAGGAACTGATGTGCTGGGTATTTCATGAATTGTGTAGAAAATTATAGTCATATAGACTCTGCACAGCCTGCTTTGCTGGACATCTTGGCATTATTTTTTTCTTGTGTGAGGCTGACATCTGCTGGACAAGTAACACTTGATCAGAGCTTTGTATTTTAGAGTAAATTAAAATTTTTGGCAGTGAAGCTTAGCTGTGGTGCATATACTCCATGTTTTCTATTTGAATTTGGCAAGTTTGGCAGTTAATTTTCTTTTCAAATTTTGTATGCTGTGGTTGAGTCTCAGTGAGCTTTAGAATGAGAGCTCGCCTTTGGGGCATCTTTAATATGTGAGGATAAAGCCCTTTCATTAAACTAGTTGTTCTTAACCCTCACCAGGTGCCAGAATCACTGTGTGTGATAGACGGTTTATAAACGTGGCCACAACAACCCTCCCATTCCACATGCCTTTTCACAGTGTGACTTTGCCACTCCTATTAAAAAAGTAAAGCATGTTTTCCTTCCTTTTGAATCTAGATTGGCTTTGCAATTTAATTTGAGCAATAACATGCGGTTGAAGAGGCATTGTACAACTTACAACATATCCTTAAAAAGAGACATTGCAACTTCAGTTTTTGCTGAAGTTAACATTCTTCAGTTAAGATTACTGAAGAATGACTCAACCCTCATGAGAGTACCTGGCTGACAGTGAGCACCAAGATTCAGTACCAAGGTCAGCACCATTAGGGTGAGCCCACTTTTGACCAGGTCCAGCCCAGCCAACTAGCCAAAAGCAGTTGCATAAGTGAAACCAGATAAGACAAGCAGAAGAATCCCCCCAGCAAACCCACAAAATAGAAATAATAAGTAAGTTTTTCTTTAAGTCACTATGTTTTGGGTGGTTTATTATACAGCAATAGATGATTGATATCATTAGGAAAACTTTTTAAGAAGAATGAACAATAATAATGCCCAAGTTCAAATCTAAGAGATTTATATTTAGTTCTATTAGGTGGAATCCAGGAAATAAAATATATATATATTTAAAAAGCTTGCATGATTGGGAATCACTGATCTAAATATTTTATGCCCATAATTACTTTTTCTAAAATCTCATCATCATCTACAGCAGCAGCATCATAACAATTACTCCAATAATTCACATTTCTTTCACATACTCCTTGTAAGGTTTCATAGGAACAAACAAAAGTTGATTTCTACAAGATTACTGAGCTAGTAGGAGGTAGGTTACTTGACTTCATATCCTAAATTTTTTCAACTACACATAGTAGATTGCTGCTTCTGATATTTACCTCTTCTGTGAGTGACTGATACCTACTAGTTATATACCTGGAGATGAAGGTAATGGGCATGAGAGAAAATAAAGTGACTAAAACCACAGATAATTTAGAATTAAAGAATTTAGACTCATTAAGACCTTTGTGATTCAGGACCAGTAACAATGAAATTTCATGTTAATTAAAATTTTGGTTAACAACTGGTTAACAATCAACAATTTCATTAATATCGGACTAGGAAGTGCAGTAAATAATAATAAGACATCCAAAATGGAGGGAACCCTAAGCAAGATGATTCATTTACTTAATTCAAGAAAGATTTCAGTTCTTACTCTCTTGTAAGAACTCTCTCTCTTCTCACAGAGAATTCTTATTCTCTGTGGTCCTAGGGAACAGGCAGTTGTAGCACCAGGAGACTAATTTCTGCTTAGTTTAAATATAAATCTTTAGCAAGAATTAAAAAGAATAAAAAATACCTCTGAAAGAATTAATGCTTGAAATTCATATCTAGAGGAAAGATTTTAGCTGCAGTAATTACCTACATAATATTCATGGTCCTTCTTTGAGGAGGGAAGGAAAGCTTATGTATATCAAACCCGAGCTGCAGGACAGACCTCAGAGCTTAAATGAACACAGCTGTAAGACGCATTAAAGAATTTTGCTGAAGTCCTATGATTTAGGCTGATTACAAAGCAGCTAAAAACAGGTGCGAGGGTATAAATCTCCATGGTTGGTTTTCACCTGTTGCAAAACTACAATGCTTCTTAAACTTCAATGTACAAGCAAATCACCTAAGGATCTTAGTAAAATTTGATTCATCAGATATGGGATGGGGAAGGGCTTGGATCTCACATTTCTAATGATATCCCAAGTGATGCTAATACTGCTATTCTGCAGACTATATTTTGAATATTAAGGTAATACAGAATTTTCTCCCCAAATAACAGTTTTCAGACTGTGATCACCAAAACAATGACATCAACATCACTTGAGAACATGTTAGAGATGCAGATTCCCAGGCCCTGTCCAGACCTATTCAATCAGAAACTCTGGCAGTGAGGACCCAGGCATCCGTAGTGCCTCAAGCCTTCCAGGGGATTTTGATGCTAAAGTCTAAGAGTCACTGATTTAGAGAAGTATTTATCCAGCCATAATAAAATCACCCTACCTAAGAGCTTAAAAAAAAAGCAGTCCCTGGGCTCCATTAGCAGGCAGGATGTGGGACACTTCATTGTGAGTATTTGTAAAAATCTCAACATGTGCTTGCAATGTGTGGCCCAGTTTGAGAACCAAGAGAGACAGAGAGAGAGACACAGACAGAGACAAATAGAGACGAGAGATCCACTCACTTACTTCTGGAGTCTTCGCCAGCAAAAGTCTGGTAGAGGTGGTGATGTCCAGGTCTGCTGGGCCAGTGGCTGTCCTCCTCCTCACTGTTGCTTTGCACCTGTAACCAAGGTCCCCGCAGAACTCAGTCAGCACCAGTGGTGGGGAAACGTGCAGGATGGCAGGCGACATAGGGGAAAGAGGCTGAGTGTACTTGAGTAACCTGGCCTCGTCTCTTGCGGTAGGAGCCTGGCAGTGAGGAAGGCAGGGCCAGCTCTGCATTCAGTGAGGGCTGGCACACATGCAAATAAGACTGCGGACCATCACGGCTTCTCTTTGTGTCAAGGGTTTGACAGATTTTCCTCAAGACTCTGGCACTTGGTCGTAGCACTGTCTATAGCCCCAGGCAAGAGCAATCCTGGGTTTTACAGAGCTCATGGGATGATGAGTCAGTGGACCGAGAGAATGTGTCCACTTTGATTTTGCACTAGCCCTTCTAGACCATGCTCTGGATGCCCACAATCCCCTCCCCAAATGCAACTCAAATGGCCCCAAGCCTATTTCAGGGAAATGCATTGGTTTTGCCCGGTGTCTGTTCTCTCAAGGCCGGCCTTTTTCCTAGGGTATGCACTCCTAGGCCTGAACGATGACTGGTAGATGGTTATATGGGTTGGCGGGGGGGGCTTGGGGGGGCTTCCCAGGTGGTGCTAGTGGTAAAGCACCCAGCTGCCAATGCAGGAGATGTGAGAGATGCAGGTTCAAGCCCCAGGTCAGGAAAATCCCCTGGAGGAGGGCATGGCAATCCACTCCAGTATTCTTGCCTAGAGAATCCCATGGACAGAAGAGCCTGGGTAGGCTACAGTCCATAGGGTCGCAGAGTCGGACATGACTGAAGTGACTTAGCATGCATGCACACATGCAGGGGTTTGTGGCATTTGAATATGCCAGCTGGGGTGTTCACATATGGTGTGCAAAATCCCTTATGGTGCAGGACAGACGTGGGTATGGGAAGAGAAGGAGATAGGGAAGGGAAGGGCTAGGATGGCTCTGCCCACACTGCCATATTCTAGCAGTGAAGTTCTAAGAGGGAGAATTCTAGATTTGAATCTGAATTTCTTCGTGGTTATATACTTGCCAAGGTAGAAGAGATTTTATATAATCATGTTTAGTCGAGTGTGTAACTGACCTCTATCTGTACTCGTGTGTATCCCACAAATGATAGGGGTAGGTGTGTTTGATGGGAAATTTTAGTGAAGATCAGCCTGGAAGAGGAGTTAGAAAAATCGTGACAAAAACTGGGTGCTCTTAAGAAACTGGGTCTATTTCTCTTTCCCCTTTCTTCTATATTAATTTTGGTTGATCAGTTGTATCCAACTCTTCGTAACCTCATGGACTGTAGCCCTCCAGGCTCCTCTGTCCATGGAATTCTCCAGGCAAGAATACTGGAGTGGGTAGCCATTCCCTTTTCCAGGGGATCTTCCCGACCCAGGGATCAAACCTGGGACTCCAGCATTGCAGACAGACTGTTAACCATCTGAGCCACCAGGGGTCCCACTTTCAAAGGTTTCTGAATGTAATTCAAGACTTGGTATATCTGACAAGGAGGATATATTTTAACCCAAGGGCAAGAATCCAGAATTCAAGAGCAGGAATGCCAGCCTCTCCCTCACTTTCAACCCGCTCACCTCCAAGTCCCAAGTGTCCTGCCACTGCTCAGTTAGGGATCGGTGCATTTCTGTTCCCTCTTGACTCTGTTTCCATTTCTGCTGGATGATGGACAGGTCCAGTGAGTTAACCTTCTTGCCCGTGGGATTCTTCTGAAACAGACTCTTTCGTGCTCTGCTCTTTCTTGTCCAGAAGGCACCTTCCTGGACCGAGGGGGCCTCCTTACTGCTGGCCTGCAGCCCCCACAGCTCTCTCTGTTCCTGCACAGGGTCTGTGCTCCACTGCAGATCTGCTCTGGGCAGAGGATGTGAGCAACATGGCATCCTGAGGTCAGAACCCAGAGTTTCTGAAGGTTCTTGCCATGTGGACATCCCCTGCTGTGTTTCTTCTTTAAGGCAGAGGACACATGGGCAGTAAGAAGTAGGCAGTTTTGTGCCCTTGGTAGGGGGCAAGGGATCTCCCCGTGGGCCTGGTCCAAACCCAGAGTCTTGCTGGAGGACCAGCTTCTCTCCTCTCACTCTGTCCATCACCTCCCACACCACCTGGTCCAAACTGTTCCTTTTGGGAGTGTAGTCGGGTGGGGACAGTCTATCTCGTGGGCACGTGTACAGGCACATTTTGGAGATGGCTTTCCGGAGGCGCTCTCTGGGTGAGTGAGGTTCAGGCTCTGGGGACAGAATCTTGATGGATGGCATGTCAGCTGGGTTGCAATTCCAGAACATGTGGGATGGTGTGAACTTTTGGACAGGTGTCTTAGACACGTAGGAGTAGAGACAGAAGAAGGCATCTGCGGTGACGGCCAGTGTTTGCACTTGCTTAAACCTGCCTGAGTGCAAGGGGTGAAGATGGTGAGTCTAGGAGTCATCAGAAAATTACTTCTTGAATTTTTCCCTTCAATAGCTTTCCTAAAACTCAAAGTTCAGAAAGAAGAGGACAATTTCTCTACCAACATTTCTCCCACTTAGATTTCTTAGACCTAGGATTCCCTTTCTTGATCTTCTTGACTTTTTGACTCTTTATCCCCAGTAGTCTAGAAATTAATTCTATACAGGATGAAAAACTTTTCCATATCTTGATTTAGCATATCCTTTCTGCTGTCAATATACAATGACCTCTATCACTATGTTTGCTTCGGTAGTTCCCAACATTTTTGGGACCAGAGACCAGTTCCATGGAAGACCATTTTTTCCATGGACTTGGGTTAGAGGGATGGCTTCAGCATGATTCAAGCGCATTACAAAGTATGCTTTGTTTTTATTATTATTATGTTAACTCCACCTTAGATAATCAGGCATTAGATCCCAGAGGTTGGGGACCCCTGCTTTAGATGGCAAATGTGACTAAAAAGGGCAAAACTAACATTGTGTTCTTAGTAAGAAAACTTTAGGGTTATGGAAATCTTCTTTGATAGAAGCAAATTTGAGAGATAGCAATTACTAGGCAATGGACAAGGGTAGAGAAATCTAGATGGTCTATATTATTTCTAATAGACTTTGCTTCTCAACATGTGGTCAGTAGTTCAGTAGCATTGGCATTACTTGGGAACTTAGGTTAATACAGAATCTCAGACTGTATCCCATGCATCTTAACAATATCCTTTCATAATTCATATGCACATCCATGTTTGAAAAGCATGTGATAAACCATTTACCCATTAAACTGTAAGAGTCCTAAAGGCAAGATCATGTTCCTCTTGCCTAGCTGCTATTCTTCCAGAATTTAACATCTCTACCTGGCCCATAAAATACATTCAACAAAAACATCCTCAATCTTTAGGGTGCATATGAATCATATAAAGTGCTTGTGAAATACTTCCACTGAAAATCCGTATGTCAGCAAGTGGAGCTCAGGAGTATAATTTTACCAAATTTTAAAGCTGAATCTATACAAAGGATCTGAAACAACACTATCAGGAACACCACGATGATGGGGGGTAGCGTGGACCGTAAAAGAATATTATTTGAAACATATTCTAACATATAGAATAAAATAGTCTTTCATCCCTCATCAAAGTAGAGAGGCCCTCTCATATCCTTCTTCAGTATGGAATTGGGACAACTTAAATCATTGTTTCCCTAGATGTGGTAAGATTACACATAAGGATCATTGGTGTGCTTACTTAAATATTCCTGAGCCCTTCCTTCTCTGGAATAAAAGCCAATGAATATGAATGCTTTATAAACTCCTGCACAATTTAACATAATTAACAGAACTGCTGTCCTAAATGGAAATTGTATTAATGTAATGGCTATAAATGGGGAACACTCACTAATTCCAACTGAGAAATAGAAAATGGTGACAAGATTTAAAGACATCAGTCCAATTTGATTCAGTGAAAAGAGAGAAGATCTAAAAGAAAGTCACTGGGATACCAGGTCTCTTGAAAACTCTTCAAGAGAGAGAAGCAGAACTCAAAGTTCTCCACTCACTGAAGACAACAGAGGAAGAAACAGACACAACAGGCAAAGGGTCAAGAGAAGCTAACCAAGAGAAAGTAGGATTTAGAGCCACTGATCCCTGTTATGACTGTCTGGAGGCTGAGAAAGGCGTAGAGCACGGGTCTGTGCTAACACTCACTGGCCAGCATGAGGCAAGGGTCCTCCATCTCAATCCTCCGCACTTGGGACTTCAGGAAGAGCTGGAAATCAATGCCTTTGGCTTGAGAGGGGGTGGTGAAAAATCGAGCAGGGATTCGAGAAGTGTCTTTGTGGTCCTCCTGACCAAAGCCCAGGCTGAAAAGGACATCTTCTGCATCTTCTTGCACCTTGTCCAGAATCTCTGAGATGCTGAAAAGTGGGGGTTTGGGTAAACACAGGAAGCTTTGAGAAACAGGGTAATCCAGACCATCTAATAAAAGTGTGAGGACACTGAGATACCTTTCTGGCCATTTCTCTGTCTACCACTGAAGCCCAGAAAAGCTTTCACTTCTCTGAATCTAAATTATCTGTCTGGAACCTGGGAATTACAATCTGGCCTTGGTTTAAAAATTGAACATGATTCTATTAGAGTACTTCAAACAACTGATTAAAATGATGACAGATGAATGAAAATTTGCTATGAGAGGGATCCGAAAAATCAAAATCAGTGTAGTTGCAAAATGCTTTGTGGTTGTGTTATTAACCAGCCAGTTCCCATTTGCTACATGATAGAGCTGGCTTTTGCCAAGTGCTTTGTAACTTGCACCAGCTTGCACCAGTAGTTGGTGGACCAACCAGGCAATGAGTGTGTAAGCAACACAGAACTCATTTTCTTCTCACCCTGAGGATAAAAGTATATCAATACAGCTGTGTTAGGTAGGCCTGTTTGTAGCACAATTTCAGGATAGAAGCCCTGCACCTGTAGATCAAACACTTTCTGTCTCCAACATACATCTATGTGCAAATTGTTGCAGCACCAGGCTGCTGACACAGGAGCTCGCTAACAGTGCATTCCAAACATCAGTGAGAGCAGGGGAACTGTCAATTATTTGAGGCTTCGACTAATCACTGTTAATCTCTTCGGAAAGGATGCCAGGTGTTCCAAACTGTTTAAGTAAACACTCTTGTTTAAGTAAAAGCTGGATAATTGGAATCCCTGGTTCTATTCTTGTGCGTTCCTCCTCACTGCTAATTTCATCTCCATGATCCCAAGTTTCCTTATCTGAATTGCGGTCATAAGACTAGATCCCTGAGGAGGCAGGATATCAAGGTGGCAGAAAAGGAAGATGCTGAGTTCACTGCCCTCAGTGAACACACCAAAATATACATCCACACGCGGAGCAGTTCTTGCTGAAATCAGACTGGATGGAGACTGGCAGAAAGACTCTTCAACAACTAAGGCTATCAAGAATGATCTACACGGAAGTGGGTAGGAAGAGAAGAGAAACGATCGGATCAGGATCTGCATCCCTAGGAGGGGACACAGAGGAGGAGGAGGGTCCCAGAGGCTCAGAAAGCCTCCCTGGGGAATGGATGGTTCAAACCACAAATTGGGCACCATAGCCCTCGAGTCTGATGCTGGGCAGAGGCGTCCCATTCGCTAGCTTGAAAACCAGTAGGACTAACAGGAGGGCAGTAAGAACCGTGCTCACAAAGATTATGCACACACTTGCTTACTCCTGAAACAGGGATGAGGAAGCAGATTCAGTGTCTGGGACTCTGGCCAGCTTCCTACAACCTACACTGAGCATCACGCCAGCTCTTCTCACTCGCTAGTGCGGCGCTCCGCTAGGGTAGAGGCTCATCTGTGAAGACTGGAGCTGCGGGGTGTGCAACTGGCTTGGACCCGGCACAGATCTGAAAAGGGCGATGGCAGGCGTTACTGTCGCTCCGGGAGGAAGCAGATCAGGAACGGGCTGAAACTCTAACTGAATGTGCCAGAACTTCTCCAGAGTGGGCCCTAGCCTGCACGGGTACCTGCTCTGCCCTTCTTGCTCTAGCACTGCTCCCCTCCGGGGCGAAGGTAGCAATGCTGGGATGGGGGAGTGCACCCACTAAAAGGGAAGGGAGCCAGCTCAGACCTGACCCTCGGGAATCCTGCCCCAAAAACGTAGGACACAGTCTTGCCCTGGATAGGGAACTGTCAGTCACCGAGCCAGAAGCCCTGGCTCACACCTAACTCTGGCTCTAACCAACACCCTCACCCCCCATCTCTAGCTGCACTTTCCACTAAGGTGATAGTATATATAAAATAGCCAATGAGAATTTGCTCTAAATCAAAAGGAGCTCAAATGTGACTTGTACTCATTTCAGATACAGCTCTTTTATAAAGCTACAGTCATCAAAGCAGTATGCTACTGGCACAAAAAGAGACACACAGATCAACGGAACAGAACAGAGCCCAGAAATACACCCATGCATGTATAGTCTAGTAATCTATGATATAGGGGGAAAGAATATACAATGGAATAAAAGACAGTTCAAGAAATGGTGCTGGGAAAACTGGATAGCTGCATGTAAAAGAATGAAATTAGAACATTTTCCTACCCCATAAAAAAATAAACTCAAAATGGATAAAGATAGTTCCATAAGAATAGAAACCATAAAACTCCTAGAAGAAAACACAGCCACATCACTCTTGAACATAAATCATAGCAAAGCTTTTTTCGATCTGTCTCATAAGGCAAAGGAAACAAAAGCAAAAGTGAACAAATGGGACCTGACTAAACTTAAAACATTTTGCACAACAAAGGAAACCATTTACAAAATGAAAAGACAACCTACTGGACGGGAAAAAATATTTTCAAATGATATGACTGATAATGAGTTAATATAAAATGAGTACATAGCTCATATAACTCATATAAAAAAATAAAGAAACTAATTAGAAAATGGGCAGAAGACCTGAATAGATATTTTCCCAAAAAAGACATATAGATGGCCAATAGACCCCATGAAAAGATGGTCATCATTAGTGGAATATTACTCAGCCATAAAAAAGGAATACATTTGAGTCAGTTCTAATGAAGTGGATGAAACTGAAGCCTATTATACAGAATAAAGTAAATCAGAAAGATAAAAACAAATATCATATTAACACACACACACACATATGGAACCTAGTGGCAGAACAGCAGTGGAGACGTAGACACGGAACAGACTGGGGACACAGGGACAAGGAGAGGGCCGGACGAGCTGAGAGAGTGGTGTGGAAATACATGCATTACCACATGTAAAACAGCTGGTGATTTGCTCTATAAACCAAAAGGTGCTCAAGCCTGGTGCTCTGTGACATCTTAGATGGGTGGGATGGGATGGGAGGTGGGAGGCAGGTTCCACAGGGAGGGGTTATATACCGATGGCCGATTCATGCTGATGTGTGGCAGAAACCAACGCAATATTGTAAAGCAATTATTCTCTAACTAAGAATGAATAAATTAAAAACAGGAAAATCAAGGGAAAAAAGATGCGGTATACATCAGACATAAAAAAGAATGAAATAATACCATTTGCAGCCACACAGATCTGGAAATTATTATACTAAGTGAAGTAAGTCAGAGAAAGATAAATATCATATGATATTACTTACACATGGAATAAAAAAAAGATACAAATGAACTTATTTACAAAATAGAAATATACTCACAGACACAGAAAGCAAGCTTATGGTTAACAAAGGGGATAGCAGGGGATGAGAGATAAATTAGGAGTTTGGGATTAACACATATACACTACCATATATAAAATGGGTAAACAATAAGGACTATACAACACAGGAAACTATACTCAATATTTTGTAATAACCTACAATAGAAAATAATCTGAATAAGAATATATATATTTATTTGAATCACTTTGCTGTACATTTGAAGCATTGTAAATCAAATGCACTTCAACAAAAGTTTTCTTTTAAGTGCAGACATTCGAGTCTCGCCCCCAGAGATTCTATGTGTTAACTGAATTGGGGTGTAAGGCTCAGTAAGTACAAATCACTAAAAATAGTAAATAAGCTAATAAGTCTGAGAACCAGGTTTGATATTCAAACTTTGACTCCAAATTCCAAACAATTTTTATAATAGCACACTAGTTCTCATCATCTTCCACCTTGTTTTAGAGTTATTGGTGTGTATTTTTTTTTCACCCTATAGAACTGTTGAGCTCCTGCAGGCAAACTTTTTATCTGCTTAATTTCCAAATTGCATACAGTCATTGCCTGCTCTGCATTTGGAGATACAAAATTGCTTGAATGAATCAATATTTTATCACCTCAATCAATCAATTAATGGATACATTTATTGATTGTTCTGTTGTTGTTCAGTCACTAAGTCATGTCCAACTCTTTGTGACCCATGGACTGCAGCATGCCAGGTTTCCCTGTCCTTCACTATCTCTGGCAGTTTGCTGAAATTGATATCCAACTGATTGTTTGCTGAGAACTTATTATAAGTCCTGGAAATGTGATGGGACCAATATTACACTTCCTGGTGTACAAAGTCGAGGGGAGGAGACACCTGTACTTTACACAGCAACCAGCTCTGAGTAGTAGATATCTGTGCATCCCTGCCATTCTTGAAGCACACTGTCACCCTTGTCAAGTGTGTGACTGCATAGAAGCACTAGTAATATATCCCAGAAAAAAACTGGCAATGGTTCTCAGTTCCAGTCTCTTCTGCCTTTCATCTTCCCTGACCTTATACCCTGCCAAACTTGGTACCTACCTTGAACTAGTCTTGTTGGTCCCACCAGTCATGCTGCTGGAAGCCAAACTGCAGCCAAGATCTAGTAGCTGTCCGGGCCGGGATGTCTCCAGGAAGCTCCTGCAGGAATCAATGCTGAAGTCACACTAATCTTGTGAGCAATGTCTGTACTCTGGCTTCCAGACATGCCCTGCGGGCACAGTCACTCCCTGCTGGGTATGTTTGAACCATCTACTATAAAAACTGAATCTATGGTCTCATTTCTGGTTGGAAATTTCACTCTCTATTATAAAACTGCAGCTCTTTGTTTTTAATCTCTTGGACTCTGATGCCCACCCCAATTCAGTAGCTCCTGAAAGAGACATCACTCAGCCTGGCTGAAACTAACACTTACCTGGAGTAGAGTTTGCTGCTGGCGGCCAAAAGTGTGGCTGGACAAGTAATAGAAAGACACAGTTAGAAGGGAAAATGAAAATCATCTGAGCTGCCCCTCTGAACTTAAACCTCAGCCCCTTCTGCTCCTCTCTGCTACTACTGCAGGCCCATAAACCCTATGAACCCTGTTCTTTAGGAAAGTATATGAAGATTATCAAACATAGACCTGGAAGGGGGACAAACATGGCAGAGGAAAAACTGGCCCCGAGCCTTTGAGCTTCTGAACCATGCCTGGTGTCCAGACAAGAGTTTCTCTGTCCTGAGGAGGACAGTCATTCAGGCCACCAGGCTAGCGTTCCTGCTTCACCACATGTGTCTCTAAGGGTCCCAGAAGACACAGGCGGGTTGCTATATCTCCATCCTTCATTTCAGCCTTTATCTTCCTCCAATGTAATCTCTCTCTTACACCCAGTACTCAGACTGCTTGGGGCTTCTATATAGAAAACCATTTCAAAGATGTCTGGGCAGCCAACTTTATGGTGATTTTATATATTATCTTCCCAGGGGCCAAAGGAAAGCTCCAATGATGAACAAGTAAATGTCTTGATAGGCTGGTGAGCAGACATTTCTGGGCATGTGATGCTTTCTGAGTTTTCCATTAGATCATATGGGATTGCTCTTTCCCTGCAGAGAAGACGCCATGGATGTGCTGCTTCTTTCTGCAGTTCTCCCCTTCCAGTCTATCTTCATTCATCCGGTGGATAGCAGCTTCCTCAATCCCAACCTCAAAGAGCTGTGCCACTTACCCTCTGCTCCAAGGCTCAAGTCATCTTCAAAGCTGGTTCCATGGCTGGGGCACCCTGTCAAATAATGAGGCAAGGGCTATAGAAAATCAGGCTTGGACTCACACACATGCTCAAACACTTATATACACATCTACAACCACACAGTCACATCACACATCCACACATCTGCAAAACAACCCCAGCCATACATATACTAAAATCACATTCATAATTCTGATTAAAAAGAATCAAGTAAAAATTTTTGTTGTTTTATAAAATTACCTATAATTAATCTGTCCCCAAATCACATAGTCATATACACAGTCCTTTGCCAAAGAATTAGCACATGGGGGCATACACTCATACTCATAAACATACATACACAGACACACACATTTTATAAAGCTCTTTGTCCATAGCAGCGATTATTAGCTGAACAACCACTAACAGAAGATAACCTTTGAGGACTAGTCGGCCTGTGGGCTCTCAGCCAACACTATCTTCTGGGCCTCCTGGATTGCCTTATGACCATTAATAGGTGTTCCGCAGGCAGTGAAAAGATAGCATTCTCATGCACTCATATGCGTGTGCATGTACACACACACACGGAGTGATGTCACTGTTTAAGGTGGATGAACAGGAGAAGAAAGAACAGAGCCTCTACTTACCATTGTAGTTCGACTGTCCTGCTTCCTCAAAAAACCCTTCTTCAGAGTATCTAAAAACCAAAGAGAAACTCACAGGTTTAACTCACTACATTTTCAAAGGGGCTTTTCTTCAACTATCTCCCACAAGTTTGTGTAATTTTCTAATGAGAGTCAGTAGTATTTAAATCGCTTTTATGTTGAAGAAAATGGAGAGTGATGATTTGACTGACAAATCCATTAAGGCAGTCAGAGGGCCCCATATTTTAAATTGGGCTGCCATCATGCTGACCATGGTGCCCCAAGTCAGCTTAGCAATAATTCTTCAGAAGCTAGGAAATAGGAAGAAAAGAATATGGAAACAAACTGGAGAAATCTATTTATAGAAGCAGGGGTTTGGGTACCATAAACTTGCCATTACAAATGCAAATATTGAGACTAAGAAAAAATCTTTTAGGAGGTCATCTTATCTACCCACCCTTCCTTTCTTTCCTCTTAGCTCCATTCTTGGTGAATATCATGTCTTTCAGGAAGCAGTAGGAACGGCATTTCGGTTGAAGATTATATTTCTACATTTTGAGATATGTGCTTTATCAAACATTCACTATCTCCACAAGAACAGATGGAAGTCAGCATACACAGTAGTGAGAAACAACTTAAACAAGGAAGAAATTCACTGTCAGAAACAAGTGAATGAAGCTGTCAATGAAAAAAGTTTTAAATGGGGAACAGAGTATCTGGATTCTAGTCCTGGCACCTTGATGCTGCTATGTTCTCAAATATATTAAGTAACGGGATTTAGATGCCTAGATATTATCATTGTCTAAGTTCCTTTTGAGCACCGATGTGTTGTAAGTTTTATAGTTGGCTTTCCTGAAAGTTTTAAAAATGGAAGTTGCACATGATGCTTTGCAAATAATCTCAAATGGAGGCTTGAACAGAGAAGAGTTGCTAAAGCGAGTTAACAGGGAAACTGACTGGAAAGCAGCCATCGGAGCTGTTCTTAAACAAGTCTTCTCCTTTATTCAGTGATCCAGGCAACTCTCAGGCTATCAGAGTATCAGTTCATGAAATGTTTCATAATGAAAATGGGCTTACAAACACTGTAGAACAAACTGTGCTTAATTTTTCAAAATACATCACTATATATTACTGGTACTTTCCTTTAAATAGTGAAAAAATCAACAATATTTTCTAAAATCTGGATTTTTACCTGTCCTCATAAGAAAAACATCAATGTGTGTTATAAAATGTAGAATTATACTCAAGGTAATTAAGAATGGGTAATTCTAATAAACACAATTAGAACTACAAATATATACTTTTCTTCCTAATATATAATTGCATAAAAACATATGTTATAATACAACAAACATGTGTTAGTACATAGAACATCACAAATATTAGTATAAATTAATATTTCCTACTACTATTAAAAGACATTATGATAGCTAATGCAGTCAAATACTAGAATGACAAGATCTACTGTTGCATTTAGTACTTGTGGTGTCAGTACACAGAAATGCAACTACTAAAGCCCACTACTAATATGACTACAATAAAACACACTACTGTTGCATTTCTAGGTATGCCATCAATGGAAATGCCTGTATATAGTCACCAAAAGAAATAATATATATAATAACCCAGAATCAGGAGACTCCCAAATCTCTAGTTATTGTAAAGCAGATAAATTGCATGATGGATAGACAACCAGGGCTATGCAATTAAAAAGAAGGACCTATTGCTGGATGAAAATGCGTCGATGAACATCACAAACTTAAGGCTGAACAAAAGAAGCGTGTATAAAAAAGTGCATATGGTATGATTCCATGTATATAAAGTTTAAAAAGTATAAAACTTATCTATGATGCTACAAGTCAGGGTACTGGTTACCCTTGGAAGTAGGGCAGTGAACGGGAGGGGACATAAGGGGCTTCTGGAGTGCGGGTAATGTTTCACGTTAGATTTGTCAGATTTCATCACTCTATTCCCTTTGAGAAAATTCACTGAACCATATACTTAATCCTCACTTATTTTTCAGTAAATATTTTATACTTCAAAGTGATTTATATTGCTCTTATTTTAACAGGTTTTTTTTTTTGAGGTTGATATACAAGGAACAGCACATATTTAACATGTGTAACTTGATAAGCTTGGACATATGTAAACACTTGTGATACCATCCATCACCAATCGAGGAAACAGACATATCCAACAATTCCCAGGGTATCTTCATTTCCCTTTGACTTCTTTTTTTTTTGAAATAAGAACACCTAACATGAGATCTACCCTCTAAACAAGTTTTGAAGTGCCCAATGCCGCAGTGTTAACTACAGGCACCACGTGGTCAGCACTCGTCGCGGGAATGTATTCATCTGACACAGCTGTAATTTACATTCACTGAGTTGAACAATTTATATTAAAAAGAAAAATTCTACTGATGTGTATACTATACTTCAATAAAATTTACATTAAAATACCACTGATAAAACTCCTTATTTGTCCAAAACAAGATTTGGTAATACAAGATTTGCTGGGTGTGCATCCTTTGTTTCCATTTTCTAGTTGTGCTCTAGCAGGCATTTCTATAGTCTATATATGAGGACCAGCTCAGGCTGACCCTTGATTTTCTATGTGTATGTGGGATACACAACAGAAGTATGGACAAAAGCCTGGATGTGTTGATGTCTTCTCACTGAGAATGATTGTCTGACATTTCACAGCCCTCATCCAAGTCCCAGGCCTTTCATGAGTTATTGCTTAGGACATAAAATCAATGACTAGAGACTAGATCCAGAGCTTGCTCATCTCCATATTTGCATTGAAAAGTCCCTTAGCATCATTTCATTCTGACATAGAAGGGCCAAGTTACTGCTCTTCCTAAACTCATAAACTCATAAACAAAGAGTACGAAGGAATATTGAACTGTGGGAAGCATTTTAAATCCTGGGGCAGTTCTTACACACCCAAACCTGCAAGCATTCCCATTAACATCATCCCTTTAATTCCCTGTAGTTTGATTACCCTTAATTGACTTTTGAAGTAAAAAAAATTTGAACCAGATTATGACAATCAATAAAGACAATACGTTTTATAAACAACAACAACAACAAACCAAAATAAATCCTTCCTGGCCTTCCCTCCCAGGGCAGAGTTAAAATAAACAACCTTGGATTATGCAGTGCTATTTATTTCCTATTAAATAAACCAGGATGGGTTTATTTTTATGTTAATAAACGAGTTTAGATGAAAGGCTATATCAAGCTGGGGACATTTCTGGAGAGGAAATAAAGAGCAGGCAGAAGTTTTTAAGTTCTGAGAATTCATTATCACACAAGTGATCACACTTAAACAGGTCACAAAGCTTTCCCTCCGTGTCTGAGCAGACTGAGCCTAAAATGGGACAGCCTGTTGGGGGTGTGGGGCCTCAAATTTTAACAGTTTCTCAGGAAAAAAGAAATACTACAATCTGCCTTGAAGTACTTGTTCCACTTAGTCAGTGCTTTGAATAACTAGGGTAAACGCTTAGTCCTTGTAGAAATAAGCAATATAATCATTCATAATGATGAATTACTCTGGTCATAAGAACAGCTAGCTTTTTAACTCCTCTTCTGTCTGCAGTGTAAGACTCCGATCCAAAGGGAAAAACAATGGGACAGGGACTGGAGTTTAGCCCAGTCATTCACTGTGGTTGCCAGTTTCTGTCCTTCTTGGTTTTAGACCAGATCCAGTCTGTTTCCAGACCTTCGCCCTAACTTGGTCTCAGCCCAGAGAGGCACTTGACTCACAGCCCTAACCCCCACACTCACCCATTTCTTTACAGACCGTCTCACTCATTTCAACCTCACTTCTAACTACGAGGCCCAGTTAAAACTCACGTCCCTGTCCCTGAGTCCTCCAGCGGCAGCACGGCCAACCACCAGCCATGCTCACCACCACTTTGCCGGCACTTACCCGCAATCTTGCAGCCAGTCTTCAATCTTGTTGATTGGATTTCCTAGAAAAGTCAGATATCGGGTCACTGTGGGGACCAAAGGAGATCAGACTTCCTCCCTGGAACTCAGCCTAGTCCACAAATTTATCCTTATTCAAGCCACCTCATGAACCCTTTTTATTCCCATAAAACTTTCCCTTACGGTACAAGAGTGATATACCCATGTTAAAAAAGAGTGGACGTCTCTTTTCTCTTGGCCTCTGTGCCCCCCTTCTCCCAGAAAGTTGGAAAATACCCCAAGGTTTGAGAACAGGGGTAGATTCTTCTGTTTAAAGAAAAAAGAAAGAAAAAACAAGAAAAACCAGCACAATTTTGCTTTTGTTCTTTTTGTTTCCTGTCAAATAAGCAAGGGTAGGCTTATTTACATAAGATTTATTTTTTATTTTTCAATCATGTCTGTAGCATCATTTGAACCTCCAAGAAGTTCTGAGAGGCATGAACAAGGGAAGCCCAGGAATACTGGAGTAGGTAGCCTCTCCCATCGCCAGGCGATCTTCCCAACCCAGGAATCGAACCGGGGTCTCCTGAATCGCTGGCAGATTCTTTACCGCCAGGAGCTATCAGGGAAGAAACCGGGGACCCTCTGCCCGCACGGCAGACCTGAGCATCTGCCACATATTCCCTATCACAAGACAAGGTGCCTCTCTGTTTGGCCTCCTTACCTTCCTGGAAAACGTCATCCAGGCCAGAGGGCTCGGCATCTGGGACATTCTGCAGGGCCGCTGCAGCCTCTTCCTCCAGGACCTGGGTCTGCCAGTGCCGGCTCTGACGGAGCCAGGCCCTGCGTCTCTCCCAGGACGTGGGGCTCAGCACGGAGCCCTCCATGGCGCCGCTTCAGACTTCAGGGCCTCTGGCCACAGGGATGCTATCCTGAGAGTTGGAGCACAGCGATACACCGTCATCCTGTGTTCAGAATCCACCACCCCCGCGGTTGCCCCCACATTTTCCCAGCTCTGCACAAAGGAGCATAACCCTCGGCCTATTCAAGAGCTGGGAGGAGATGTCTGGTTCTTAAAAGAAAAAAAAAAAAAAAAGGAATGCTCTGAACAACCTAAACACCAGGGCAAGGCTTTCAAATCTGGAAAATTGAAACATTGTATGATTTAAGGTACAACGAGAAAGGGCTGCCTCTCATCATAGGTGAGATGTCATATTAGAAAACATTTTAATTCTTAAGAATTTTGTCTCCCAGAATATTCCATTAAATGAAAATATCTTTAAATTTGCAATGTGTAAATTTCATTTTATTTGATCTTCATAAAGATATATGAAAGGGGAAAGATTAGATCTCAAAGGTTAAACCAATTTTCTAAAGGTCTCACAACCAGGATGTCATTCTAACTACAGCCATTCTGGGCTTGTTTTGTTTCCTGTTTAACATAGGATTTCTCTGGGGGAAATGGGGTGGGACAAGCCCATAATAAAAACAACATGGAGACACTGTTATTGTTGTTGTTCAGTTACTAAGTAGTGTCCAACTCTTTGTGACCCCATGGATTGTAGCGCACCAGGCTTCCCTGTCCTTCACTGTCTCCTGTAGTTTGCTCAAATTCATGTCCATTGAGTTGGTGATTCAGCCCTATTATCTCATCCACTGTTGCCCTCTTCTCCTTTTGCCTTCAACCTTTCCCAGCATCAGGGTCTTTTCTATTGAGTTGGCTCTTCACATCAAGTAGCCAAAGTACTGGAGCTTCAACTTCAGCATCAGTTCTTTCAATGAATATTCAAGGTTGGTTTCCTTTAGTGTTGACCGGTTTGATCTCCTTGCAGTCCAAGAGACTCTCAAAGCTCTTCTACAGCATCATGGTTCAAAAGCATCAGTTCTTTGGTGCACAGCCTTCTTCATGGTCCAACTCACACCCATGACTACTGGAGAAACCATAGCTTTGACTATATGGACCTTTGTTAGCATAAAAGTGATGTCTCTGCTTTTTAGTATACTATCTAGGTTTGTCATAGCTTTCCTTCCAAGGAGCAAGCCTCTTTTAATTTCATGGCTGCAGTCACCATCTGCAGTGATTTCGGAGCTCCCAAACATAAAATCTGTCAATGCTTTCACTTTTCCCCCTTCTATTTGCCAAGAAGTGATGGGACCAGATGCCATGATCTTAGTTTTTTTAAGGTTAAATTTCAAGCCAGCTTTTTCACACTCCTCTTTCACCATCATCAGGAGGCTGTTTAGTTTTTCTTCAATGTCTGACATTACAGTGCTATCTTCTGCATATCTGAGGTTATTGATATTTCTGCTGGCAGTCTTGGTTCCCACTTGTGATTCATCCAGTCCAGCATTTTGCATGATGTACTCCGCATATGAGTTAAATAAACGGGGTGACAATATACAGTTTTGTCATATTCTTTGCCCAATTTTGAACCAATCAGTTGTTCCATGTCTGGTTCTAATGGTTGCTTCTTGACCTGCATACAGGTTTCTTAGGAGACAGGTAAAGTGTTCTGGTACTCCCATCTCTAAGAATTTTCCAGTTTGTTGTGATCCACACAGTCAAAGGCTTTAGTGCAGCTGATGAAGCAGATGTAGATGTTTCTTTTCTGGAATTTCTGGATCAATTAGCAGTTACCACCTTCAGAATCATCACCTTCTAATTTGTCATCTTGGGTTTCTCCCTGGCTCTGAGTTAATTCCCCAGTTCATCAGAGTGCTAATATTTCATTTAACACTGCCTAATCAACACTTGTGTATTCTTCCAAGTGATGCATTCCGATGGCACGAGCCACTTATTCGAAGAGGAAAACAGAGGGGATGAATCACTCAACTGTACAAATAGAGCTTAAAAGATTTGAGGCAAATATACTGTAATTTGCTTATACTCTGTCCTCCTGCCTCTTCACCAGCTGCACTCACAACTTCCACAGTGAACAGGTGGAGGTGGGACCAGCCCTCATCCCTGGAGCTGCCATAAACACTCCATCCTCATAGCCACACCTTTATCTGTTAGAGTTAGGAAAAATAAAAGGGGGAAAAACAAGAAGAGAGCCAGTTGCCAGAGACTCCTGCTTTTCAAACTCTTAAACACAAACCCATCAGTGAAGCATTAATTTAGGCACTAACATAGCTATTTTTGAAAAGAACATCCTAAATATGAAAGCCTTCCTAGGGCAATAAAATTGTTTTGGATGCTTCTGTTTGTTACAGACAAAGTATTTTCAGAGGAAAAGTATATATAATTACTGCTGTCTGATCTAAATTCTTTTACTTCAGGTCCAGCCTAAGGCATATGTTTTCCCCCAGGGAGAGACAGCAGTTGGCACTATACAACATTATTAACCCTGGACACTGGCCTCTTTGTCCACAGCCATTGCCTTTGAGGGGAAATTAGATGCATCACTCTGATGCAGAGTGAAGCCGCAAAGAGCGGTAGCAGAGAGAATTTGTTGTCCTTTGGCTAAAGCTGCTGTGAGATGACAAAACAAGGATGAAACTGCCACTGTAAAGAATTTAGGGAGAGAGTCAAAAAAGGCATCTTAGCCTGCATCTACCTGGTCCTGCACTACCATCCAAAGCATTTAATAGGTTGGCATCAGTCAGACTGGGGAAGAAAATATCAAAGGTTGACTTGCCTGTTGTCTTTAATTTCCAGAGCAAATGAACCTCACCTAAATCATAGGAAATCTTCAGCTCACCAAAACTTATTTGGGGATGAGGGGAATTTAAAAGGAAATCACAAAGGCAGTTGGAGAGGAAGGAAAGAAAGAGGGAAAGAAGTGAGAGAAGGAAGTTGGGAAGGGAGGGAAGAAGAAGTGAGGAAAGGAGGGAAAGAAGGAAGGAACATGGATTCCCACATTCAGCCACTTGCTAATAGTATCAGTTCAGTTGAATTGCTCAGTCGTGTCCACCTCTTTGCGACCCCATGAGCCGCAACACGCCAGGCCTCCCTGTTTAACACCAACTCTCGGAACCTACCCGAACTCACGTCCATTGAGTCGGTGATGCCATCCAACTATCTCATCCTCTGTCGTCCCCTCGGCAAATTCACCCCCTTTCTCTGGGCTCGTTTTCCCAGTGAGGACGCTATAGCCAAGCACTGTGTCAGAATCTCACTAACTGAGACGAGTGATGGAGGCCTCTACTTGGGTTTCAACATCCTCCAGGATGTGCATCTATCCTGCACTCCTCCTACTTCTTGGAAAATACATCACACTCATATAGACTCATTTCCTCTCTGCCCCCTGAAAATGCTTATCTCTCGTTTAACCCCAGGCTCTTCACACATTGTTTTCCCCTGTCTTCCCCCCACCTCAGCCTTTGACCCACTCAACCTGCAAAGCCCAGCTCTCAAGAAATTTCTCTGGGAAGCCAGTCCTGGCCTCCACAGCCTCCAGGCAATAGTCACTTCCATGTAGCTCCTTCCCTTCTTCATTGTTCTTATCACTAACGTTATATTTTGCTTGTTAATCTAATTCATTATCTACTCTTCTGATTAAAATAGAAGCTCCACCAAGACAGAGATTTTTCTCTGGGTTGTTCACTGCTATGCTCCTGATGCCTAAACAGAATCTAACTGGTTTTCTCCAATCTGTGCCACACCTGGATTATAGAGACGGTTATAATCTCTATAATTGTGGGAACACTAAAAGCAGAGCAATATTCCGAGGCACAAAGAAATAGAATTGTCTGGTCAGTGGTAGCAGAAGGAAGCTGTGTTGCTGGAAGATAAGAAACGGGGTGTTCTTCGTGGAAATCTGGAGGAAGTGGCAGATGATTATCAGACAAGCACAGCAACAGTGAGAGTGTTAGCACCGAGGGATGCATGCACACAGCTGTCAGGGCGGTACCTTGTAACAGAGAGAAGGTATGGAGGTATTTCCTCCAAACAAGTCGTGCAGAAACACACACCTGTGTGTGCAGTGGAGTTTGGTGCAGTGCAGTGACTGCGAGTTGGGAGACTTGGTCATTCTTCCAAACTTGCTGTCCTGTTAACTGACTTCCGGTAAGTCAATCAGATTTTCTACTTGGGTATTGACTTTGTTCTCTGGAAGGTGATTGGTGGCAATGAATGTTGTAGAGTTTGCCTCTAATAATAACATTTATGAATTTATTCTAGTTGAATTTGAAATATTTGTAGGAATAATACTGTACAAAAGAAGCATTTGTGTAGTTTTTCCTGTAAGAGAATGGTCCAGTGGCCTCGGGAGCTACTTACTACTTAACAAAGTTCCTTTCAATTAACACTGATTTATGAGGGTTTCCCTGGTGACTCAGACAGTAAAGAATCTGCCGCCCGTGCAGGGGACTCGGGTTTGATCCCTGGGTCGGGGAGGTCCCCTGGAGAAGGGAGTGACTGCCCACTCCAGTATCCTTGCCTGGAGAATTCCATGGGCAGAGGAGCCTGGTGGGCTACGGTCCATGAGGTTGCAAAGAGACAGACATGATTGAGTGTCTAACACTTCGCTTTCCTGAGGTTCCAGACTTAAAACTTCCTAGTGACCTAGCAAAGTGGTAAGCCTGGATGAGGGAGGCTGAACGAAGGAGACCAGAGGAGTGTGACTCAGTCAGGAGAGCTCACGGGTCCCTGGCGCTTCTTGAGCTTCTCTGATCCTTTGCCTTAGTTTATACAGTCTCATCCACCTTCCTCTCTACCCAACCATATGCTGTCTATCCTTTGAAGGCCTCCTCAAGTTGTCTCTGTTCTCTTGCCCACCTCTAGCACCCAGCACATGGGCCTATACCACATTCAGCAAGATGTATGTGCCTACGTTTCCTGTCATTATCCACCAATGCTTGAACCTCTCCCCTAAATCTTACTCAGCACATTGCACAGTACCTCACAACAGAAGGGCTCAGCAGACACTGTACCTGCAGAGAAGCAAGAATCGCACCAGGGCTGAAAATTTATCCTCACCTAGTGTGTGTC